ATTAATTTTAAAACATGCATTTTACTTCCTAGGTCAGGATAGACTACATTTAAACAGTATTCTTAATCAGCCAAAGAAAGAGAACACTATAGGATTACTGAAAGAAACTGATGCTGTTTCATCTGTCCCAAATGAAAACAAATCTGTTGTTAATAAAAACCGGGAGACATCTACACGATACGAGCAGAAAGTCATTGTGTATGTAACTTACCTACTGTTACGGGGTCATCTGGGGAACATGAGTTTGCTTTTGCTTTATTTGCATGTAAATATTTACTCTGAAGACTTAGAACTATTTAAAACCTTGTTACTTAGTACTCTGCAGTTACTCATGCAGAAATATATAATGATAAGATTTGTTATTTTTTTGTGTTTTTACTTTAGGGGGAATGAATGGAAGCCAGCTGACATTTTCACTACTCTTGGTGAAAGGGAACGCGATAGAAGTTTATTGGAAGCAAAAAAAGCCCAGTGGAGGAAAGAGCTAGGTATGTAATTTTTGTACCTTTTATTATACTTTTGTTGGTTTATGGATTATATAATGAGGAGGAAATATAATCCCAGTACCACATACCCTAGATCCAGCCACCTCTGAAAAGCCCCACCTGTAATAACATGAGGCTTTCAGGGGGACATCTAGATATAAATCTTAATACCCTGAGACTCTAATAACAAAAAAAATGTAGAACTTGTATTAGAGTCATGAGTTATTTTACAGTTACTTTGTTAATAACTAAGAACACCCATTGATTGTTAGATTAAAGATCTAGATACCGCAATTTGGAAAATATGTGCCTTAGCATGTGTACCTCTGAAGGACAGATTTACAGTACTAAAAGCATGAGACAGCCTCCCCTCCACGCAGCTGGCAAGTCCTGTGACACAGTCACTAACTCCGATAGGAAGGATGGTTTAGAAAAAGAAATGAGCAGAGAAATAAGGAATTAATTGATATTAGAAGTCAAGATAATAGAGGGATGAAGAAATTAAGTTTGTGATAGTAGTATCAGAAGGACATCTCTTTAAGTCATGCTGTCATTAATTAATTGTCTTGGAATTTAAAATTTAAGTGTGTACCTCTGAATTTTGTATTTAAAGAACTGTTAATGATTTGAGGCTTAGTTTTGATTGTATCTGTTAGATGTAAGTTTTTAAAAACATTTTGAGAAATTATGGAAAATAATGACCAATGTATTTACTTTGTGATAGAAAACTAAGCACAATTATTCTCATTTTTCAGAAGAAACTAAGGTTCAGACAGGATGACATTTTGCCCACGGTCACATAGTTTGGAAGTGCTTGAACTTGAAGTTGACCCCATTGTTCTCTGCCTTCAGAGGTCTAGGTTTTAATTCTCTTACCAATAACTAAATGAATGAATAGGAAAAGAGAACATCAGCACAATTAATGTAATATAAACTAAGTTATTCTGCAAAATTGTTCCATATTAATAATTGTAATAAAAACTAATGTTCTTATATCCATTTGTGCTGTATTTAAACTGGGTTCTGATTGTTTTACTTCATATCCCTAAAAATTCTTCTCTACTTTCTGAGTTAATATCCCTAAAAAACAATTTTTGTTAAATCTGTGTTGGAATCTGAACTCTTTAAGAAGGTCATGATTTGTTTACATGATTCTTTTCTTACAGTTTTTGTACATTTTTTAAAAAAGGACATTATTTACAGATGAACAGGTTGCTTTAAAGAAGAAAGAAAAAGAAGCTTCTGAAAAACAGAATAATTCTTGGGAAAAATCTGAAAATGATAAAATAACATGGGACAATCTTCAGATTCTTGACCGATCTATGGTAAGAGTATGAAAATCAAATGTTCTGCCTGATTATGTCTTCACACATCTTAACAGAAGACATGTCACTTACAACTTTTCAAGTGTTCGAGCAGTGCAGGTGAACCTGTAGAACTTTGAGTGATAAAGGTGGTCTGCTGCAGCGTGCGTGCCAGAGGTTTGCCACCACTGTGCTAGGGTACTCACATCACAGAGGTCATTTTAAAAGCTCATTTACTAAAAACAAAATAAAACAAAAACTCTTAGAGCTTGTTGTGGTAGCACGTGACTGTACTCCAGGCACTCTAGGAAGCTGAAGCAGGATATAAATTCAAGCCCAGCGATAGCAACTTAGTGAGACCGTGTCTCAAAAAGAAAGAAAGAAAAATATATAAAAAGGCATGCTGTCACGCTAATTAAAAAATTAAAAAGGGCTGAAGATGTAGTTCAGTAGGAAGGCCATGTTTTAATATAGTATTTTTGCCAGATGTGATGGCACATGCCTGTAATTTTAGCACTTGGGGAGGCTGAGGCAGGAGGACTGTTGCAAGTTAGAGACCATCCTGGGCTACAAAGTAAGCTCAAGGCCAGCCTGAACTGCATAGTAAGACCCTGTCTCAAAAAGACACACACACACAATTTTTAAATTTAGTTATGATTTGAACTAGTTTCTGTTTGTATTCTATAACTTGTTTTCCCATGTTAGGTGAGTGTTGAAGTCCCAGGCACTTCCTTTAGGCTTCTATAGAGAGATGCAGTTTTTTAAATGGCACAAAAATCTGCCACTAGCTACAGGATACCCATGAGAAGGTTATCATATCATCCATAACTATGTATGTATCAAACATAACTATATATCAAGTATCCTTTGGGTAGTGCTTTTGTGATGTTTAAATTTGATGATTTTAATTGGAGGTAAAGAAAAACTGCCCTTGTTTTTTATCGTTTTTAGACTTCTGCTGGCTCTTCAGATGTTCTGTCACAGTCTCCTTGTCAGGTTATAGTGGCCCAGGCTGATGGGCCTTCATTACATAAAGCTAGTCAGATTTTAGAGGTAAGCTCGAAGTGTCATTACTTTGAATATGTAATCCCTTTAGTCCTTGATTTCTGTATGAACTGTTTTCCTTAAATGAGTGATTCTACTTTTTTCTTTTAATTACAAATGAACTTTTATTGTATTATTGTATTTGTATTATGTAGCTCCTTAAATATGTCTTATTATGTGTATATGAATAAGTGAATTTTGTGATTAGTCTTGGGTCTATCTCCAGAATGTTTTATTATATATAAACGAATCCCAAAATCAAATCTGATCTGAAACACTTCTAGTCCCCAAGCATTTCAGATAGAGATACTCAACTTGAACCATTAGAAGTGGTGATGCAGGTCTGTAATCTCAGCATTATGGAAGCCTGAAGCAGGAAGATTATAAATTTGAACCCAGCCAGGGCAAGCACGACCCTGTCTCAGAATAAAAATGGTTGGGGATTTAGTTCAGCACGAAGGCCCTGGGTTCAGTTCCCAGTACTGCCACAAAAACAAACAAACAAAAAAACCACCAGAAGTCTGCTTTGTTTCCTTGTTTTTTGGCCTTTTCTTACTAGGCATTTTTTACTGTAAAATTGGTTGGATTCCAGTTTTTTAAGTTGAATAAGCTGGTAGCTTCCCTTATGTGATAACCATATATACATGAGAAAATCAAAGTATCATTTGCTTGCATTGTAAGTGACCAAACACTGCTTTACCTTTCATCATTTATTTCTCATGTTAATAGAATTATGAGGTTGACCATCACTTTTTTAAAACTCTGAAAACAGTATTGATAGACCCTAAATGGGTAAAACTGGTTCTTATATGAATGATTTAATATGGTTGTAGAAGAATACATTAAAATGTAAGCTGCAGCCAGGCATGATGGCACACACCTGTAATACTAAATACTGGGGAGGCCAAGGGTCACAGGTTAGAGCCCAGCCTGGGCCACACAATGAGACCCTGTCTCAAAAAATAAACATGAGTTCCGTAAAGACCCTGTTCACTGTTACACTTCCTGTATCTAGACCAGTGCTGGACACAATGGAAAAGGTTAGAACAGCGATGGTGAATCTTTTAGTTTTTGGTGATACCAACGGCCCGGTGCAGCAATGTGCCTGCCGTAAGTGCACCGCTACTGGTTTAGAACATATTACTGAGAGAGAACAGTCAAGTCTGTAATGAGTTGGAATGGGTCATTCATCTCAGCTGTCCTTCTCTCTTCCTGATTCTCATTTCTTCTCCTTCACTTGAATTTTCCAAGTTAACAACTTTGTATTCTCACCCATATTGTTTACTTAGGCACTCTTTAAGACTGCAGTTTAAAACTCATTTTTAAATTCAATTATAGTATCAGCATTTTTGAACATACCTGACTTTAATGAACACTTAGCTTTCCCTAATGACTAGCCCTCACTGGAAACCTCTCAAGAGGGTGTATTCTAATGTACTCTTTAATGTGGAATAGAAAGTGAGGCTGTCATTCTGCTAGCTTCTGATTACTACCGCTATAACTCTGCAGTTGGCCAAAGAAAAGTTCTTGTTTTCTTTTTCCTCTTTTTGAGACAGGGTCTCATTATGCAGTTCAGGCTGGCCTTGAGCTCACTTTGTAGCCCAGGTTGGGTTCAAACTCACAACGATCCTCCTGCTTCAGCCTCCCCCTGCCTCAGCTTCCCAAGTGCTGGGACTACAGGTGTGCGGCACCATGCCCAGCTTGAAAAGTTCTTAACATTTAAAAAAGTTTTTCTTCTTTAAAAAAATTTTTTTTGTGGTAAAATATGCGTAAACCTAACCTATTAACCATTTTTAAGTGTACAGTTCAGTGGCACTAAGTACATTCACATTGTTGCGCAACCATTACTACTGCCCATCTTTTGAACTTATCATCATCCCAGACTGAAAGTGTACCCACTAACAGTAACTCGTTTCTTCCTCTTCCAATCCTCTGGCAGCCACCCTTCTACTTTCTGTGTGTATGAATTTGACCTTTCATATAAGTGGAACCATACCATATATGCCCTTTTATGAAAGGCTTATTTCACTTAGCATAATGTCTTCCAGGCTATTTTGACTA